CTTAATAAGTGCATTGCCTGGATGGAAGCAATTGTATTTCTGTTTACATTGGTCACCCAGTGCATAACACTGAGATGGTTCAGGGTAGTCCCTTTACTGGAGGGGGCAAGGATTTGCACCAAATGGGCAGATAGCCATGTAATTGGATTACCACAGCAATATCTGACTTTTAGTTCCTCGTCGCCTTCATTCATTCCAGTTTAAGCTGAAATCCCTAATATGCAGGTATAATCGCCTGTGTTGTTTAATCAAAGGAGTAGAAAGGATGCCACAACAAAGACAGACTGGAACTTATATAGGACCTTTCATGGCCTCAGGATGAGCCAAACAATACACCCAATGAAGTTCTAACATCAGGGAACAAGGCCAATAATTTGTGTTCAGTTAGCTCCCACAGGCAGCAATAAAATTAAAAGGCAATGTCATCTGTGTAACTGGTATGGTTGGCAGATGAATATTGATCATTACATGAGCCTAGAGTAGCAAGAAACAGATATAATCTCAAAACAACACTTTTTTTTGTATTTGGAGGTGTTACCTCTTGGATGAAACATTAAGCAAGAGTAAGAAGGTGATGTTGAACTTGTACAAGACCCCTATTAGACATCAGCTGCAGCATTGTGTACAGATCCAGGTCAGAAGACATATGACACCAGGTTGTAGTCCAACAGGCTTATTTGAAATCACAAGGTTTTGGAGCACTGCTCCTTGACCAGGCGAAGTGGAGGGAAGCACAGGCACAGAATTTTTAGGTGGAGAGATCATTGCAAGATAATTCTAAGTGAATAAGAGTGTCAGAAGATCGTACAGATGGTGTAAGTGGAGTGTCTTTAGGCTGAATAATAAGTCTCTGTGGGTGATCAAAAGTGTCAGATGGTGTGAGTAAAGAGTCAACAGCTGAATAGCAAGTGAAGGGATGACCTGTGATCTGATCAATTAAGGCAGAGAGATAATTACAAAAAATAAAAAATAAGGTGGTGTGGGAGACAAACCAAACGGCTGGAATAACAAGAAACGTAAAAGAGTCGCATGCCGAAGGTATAACCAAAGCAACAATTAATCCAAAGCTATACAAACTAATTAAGGTAGAGAGGTCACAACAAGTTATCAAAGTGACAGTAAGGAAGATTTTGTAGATACAGAACAGTACGATGGGGTCACATGTAGCGCAACATGAACCCAAGATCACGGTTGAGGCCATCTTCATGGGTATGGAACTTGGTTATCAGTGTCCACTCGGCGATTTGACGTTGTTGTGTATCTCAAAGTCTGCCTCGGAGAATGCTTACCCGAAGGTAGAAGGCTGAATGTCCGTAATCGGTGAAGTGTTCCCCGATTGGCACCTCCAACTACAGGTGCAGGCACTACACTAAAGGCGGGATGTGAACACACTGGAGATGGTGAAGAAGAGATGTACAAGAATGGTTCCAGGGATGAAAAACTTCCGTTCTGAGGATAGACTGGAGAGACTGGGACCTGTTCTTCTTGGAAAGAAAGCTGCTAAGAGCAGATTTGACCAATGCTTCCAATATCATGAGTGGGTTGGATGGAATAGATAGGGAGAAACTATTCTCATTTGCAAAAGATTCAAGAATGTAAGGGTGCAGATTTTAAGTGAGTTGCAAACGAAGTAAATGTGAAAAGCCTTTTCGTTCTAGTCACTGGGGTATGGAGTGCACTGCCTGGAAGTGTGGAGGCAAGTCCAATTGATGCATTCCAGAGAGCACTGGATGGGTATTTAAATAGAAGTAATGTGAAGGGCAAGGGTAAAATGCAGGAGATTGACACAAGGTCATGGTGCTTATTTAGAGAGCCAGTTCTAGGACAATGGGCTGAACGGCCTCCTCTGTGCTACAAAACATCAGTGATGCCAAGCTTCCATCTGCTTTTTCTGGTGTTAACTCCTCCTTAAAATGGATTCAAGCCTGTTAACTTGTATGGTCCGTATATCCCTGCTTTTCCACTCTCTTTCCTTTATGAAATAGTAGTTTTATGATTCCTGCCTTTCAGACTGCTCGGATTGTTCCACAATCTATAGAATTTTTGGAAGACCATCCACTTTCTCTGCTGCCATATTTTTAGAATCGTAAACTGGGAGTCCCCAAAGCAATAGCTGCTGTGGAACTTCAATCGAGTTAGAATAATTAGGGTCAGAGTGGAAAACAGTGGGGGTCATTCACTATGGGAGAACAGTGGGGTCACACTGTGCGGTCACTTACTGTAGGAAAACACTGGCATCACAGTGGGAAAATATTGGAATAATAATGCAAAATAGTGCCGGAAAGGTGGGAAATCAGTGAGAAAACAGTAGCATCTGCTTTTATTAGCTTTCTCTCACATCCTGTTTTTTTCCCTTTTCGATATATTTCTGATGGTCATTTACTGATTTCTTATAAATTTATAATTCTCAGGCTTGCTACTGTTCTTCAAGACATTATTAGCCTCTTTGAATGTAATAATGACATTAGCTTTCTTGATCAATCACTTTTCCACTGCCTTTGCCTCTGTATGGAATGTGTTTTTGTTGAGAACTTGGTTTTTTTTTCAAAACAAAGTACTTACCGTGGATCAACAGTCTGTATGTTTAGGATATTTTCCTTACCAATCTGTTCAGAGATGTTACCACATACCTCTGGAGCAGGTGTGAACCCAATTCTCCTGGCTCAGAGATTGGAGCACCAATACTGCACAACAAGAACCCTCCCCTGCACGCATTTTATTCTCCCAATCATTGTGGGCCAATTTGCCACTCGTTCTTGTGTCATTGTCTTCATTTATACAGACTTTCTGAACTGCTGTTGGGCTAAAGCATTCATTCACCTCTCATGATGAAATCAAATTGAATGAGAGAAGGACAATGCTAAATCTAGTTTGACCCTGGTCAGAAGCAACAATGTATTTCTATGATTATAGTTATCCTGTCCTTCAGACCCTAAATCCCTGTGACCATTATTAAAAGGACAGCATTAGTGGATGAAGTTTAAAAATAGAACCCATTTTTAAAAGTGATGCAGATAAGTTGCTCCATTTATGAAAGGACAGAAATCTCTTTAATTTTTGATTGTACAGCATTGGTACAGAACAAAGACTAGAATCCATCTTAAGGATCAACAAGAATCTGACTTTGTGTCATCCCTTTCAAGGCCAAGATCAGGTTAATTTAAACAGATGCACAAGGTTCATAGGGATTTACCAGGATGTTGCTGGGTATGGAAAGTTTGAGTTATAAAGAAAGGTTGGATAGGCTGGGACTGTTTTGATATAGGAGGTTGAGAGGCGACCTGATAGAGGTTTATAAACTCATGAATGGTAAGTGTCTTTTCCCTAGGGTAGGGGATTTCAAGACGAGGGGACACAATTGTTTTTATTCATTCACGGGATGAGGGCGTCGCTGGCTAGGCAGCATTTATTGCCCATCCCCAACTGCCCAGAGGTCAGTTAACAGTCAACTGCATTGCTGTGGGTCTGGAGTCACATGTGGGCCAGACCGGCTAAATTAGCTAAGTTTCCTTCCCTAAAGGACATCAGTGAACCAGATGGGTTTTTCCAACAATCGACAATGAATTCATGGTCATCCTTAGACTCTTAATTCCAGATATTTTGTTGAATTCAAATTCCACCATCTGCCATGGCAGGATTTGAACCTGGGTCCATTTTTAAGATTAGAGGAGTGAAATTTAAAAAAGACATGAGGGCCAAATTTTTTGCCCAGAGGATGGTTCTCATGTGGAATGAACTTCCTGAGGAAGTGGTGGATGTGGGTACTGTTGCAACGTTTTAAAGACACTTGGATAAGTGCATGAATAGGAAAGGTTTGGCGGGATATGGTCCAGGAGCAGGCAAGTGAGACTAGTTTAGTTTGGGATTCTGTGCTGCATCACACAATGACTCCATGCCTTTCTCTTCAAGAATTTTTACAAATTAAAGTTATAACTCTACATTGTTTAACACTTTATCTTTATTAACCAATACACTCTTGCTTTAGAGGCATTTGTTAGGTATTTGTCACCCTTTGAAATTCTCTACCACAAAGGGCTGTGAAAGCTCAGTCATAGACTCGTGCAGCACGGAAACAGACCTTTCGGTCCAACCAGTCCATGCCGACCATAATCCCAAACTAAACAAGTCCCACCTGCCTGCGCTTGGCCCATATCCCTCCAAACATTTCTTATTCATATACTTATCTAAATGTCTTTTAAACCTTGTGGCTGTACCCATGTCCTCCACTGCCTCTGGAAGTTCATTCTACACATGAACCACTCTCTGTGGAAAAAAATTGCACCTCATGTCTTTTTTAAATCTTTCCCCTCTCACCTTACAAATATGCATTGAGCATGTTTGTAGTGGAGATTGATAGATTTCTGATTACCCCTGGTATACGGGGTTATAAGGCTGGAGATGAGAAGAGCTCTTGAAGTGTTCAAACAGCCACGATCACATCGAATAGTGGGCCATGCTCAATGGGCTACCTATCTTGCTATGTGAACATTCATCTAGGAAGGTGCCAAACACATGGAGACACTTAATCAGGAACACACAGATTTGAAGTTAAGGGGTTGGGGAGAGTCCAAAAAAGCTCATCTGTCCAACAAGTGAAGCGTCTACACATCGTTCACTAAATGAACCCTCTCAGTTTTGGCTGATCGCTCCCACGAATCAGATTGGAGTTCGTTGTCTTCACAGGGGCTTTGAGGATGTCACTAAAGTGTCTCCACTTTTGAGGGATATTTTCCACACAGCTGAGGCCTCAGTTTATAATGTCTCATATTAAAAGACATCGCTGACAGTGGCACCTGAGATGACCTGCCCTGACCCTGCATTGGGAATTGAACCTGCCTGACTCCAAGGTGAGAATCACCAAAGACAGCAGCTAAAACCAGCACAAAAACAGTGGATGGAAATCGATCCAATAATTGCATTTTAATTGCCTTGTTAGGACTTTTGTCTGCGTTCCTTAAATATTGTTCTTGATAATCAGAATCCTTTTTCATTCTGAGCAGGAGAGAATTTTTGGAATTATTGGCAAACTATGGATCCAGGGATAGTACAGGATCTGCAAGGAATTCACCCATTCCACAAGGATGTGGTAAGTTTCACTTTCTTTTAGTGCAAAGACAAATTATTTTCCGAGCTTTTCATTCAGTGAGATCCATTATATATTGCAAAGGCCTCCCACTGAATAAAGAAGCTTTATTGATGGTGCTGTATTCACGGTGAGCCAACTTAAACACGTTTGGACTGCTGAAGGTCTGTGCGTTGGCTGAGGCTTTGCTGCAAAAAGTCTTCCTGTGTTTGGAAATTGCTGCTTTTAGTGGAAACATAGAAAATAGGAGAAGAATAGGCCATTCGGCCCTTTGATCATGGCTGAACATCCAACACAGTTCCCTGTTCCCGCAGTTCCGCCATGTCCTCTGATCCCTTTTGCCCCAAGTGCTATATCCAATTCCTTGTTGAAATCTTGGGATGTTTTGGACTTGGCTACTTTCTGTGGGTAATGAATTCCACAGGCTCATCACTGACTGAGTGCAGAAGTTTCTCACCTAACACCCACCTCAATAAATACTGGAAAACTCTTTAGAAGCAGAATTCAAGGCATTCAAAAATTAGAATAAAACGCCTATGTCCAAAGTGCATCCCCTCTAAACTCAATACGGCCATCTGTCCCAATCCCCAAAATCCAAAGTCAAACATCATCCAGGGGCAACAAGGTGCAGGGCTGGATGAACACAGCAGGCCAAGCAGCATCATAGGAGCAGAGAGGCTGACGTTTCGGGCCTAGACCCTTCATCAGAAAAGGGGGAGGGGAAGGGGGTTTTGAAATAAATAGGGAGAGAGTGGGAGGCGGATAGAAGAGGGATAGAGGAGAGGATAGGTGGAGAAGAAACAAACAGGTCGAAGAGGCGGGGATGGGGCCATCGGGCAACCACCTAGAAACCGATATTCATTTCAAGCCCACCGACTCCCACAGCTACCTAGAATACTCCTCCTCCCACCCACCTTCCTGCAAAAATGCTATCCCCAATTCCCAATTCCTTCGCCTCCGCCGCATCTGCTCCCAGGATGAGGCATTCCACTCCCGTACATCTCAGTTGTCCTCGTTTTTCAAGGACCGTAACTTCCCCTCCTTGGTGGTCGAGAACGCCCTCAACCGTGTCTCCCACATCTCCCGCACCTCATCCCTCACACCCCGTCCACGCAATAAAAACCAAAAAAGAATCCCCCTCGTCCTCACGTACCACCCCACCAACCTCCGGATCCAACGCATCATCCTCCGACACTTCCGCCATCTGCAATCCGACCCCACCACCAAAGACATCTTTCCCTCCCCACCTTTATCTGCTTTCCGGAGGGACAACTCTCTCCGTGACTCCCTTGTCCGCTCCACACTCCCCTCCAGCTCCACCACACCCGGCACTTTTCCCTGCAACCGCAGGAAGTGCTACACCTGCCCCCATACCTCCTCCCTCACCCCCATCCCAGGCCCCAAGAAGACTTTCCACATCAAGCAGATGTTCACCTGCACATCTGCCAATGTGGTATACTGCATCCGCTGTACCCGGTGTGGCTTCCTCTACATCGGGGAAACCAAGCGGAGACTCGGGGACCGCTTTGCAGAACACCTACGCTCGGTTCGCAACAAACAACTGCACCTCCCAGTCGCGAACCATTTCAACTCCCCCTCCCATTCCTCAGACGACATGTCCATCCTGGGCCTCCTGCAGTGCCACAACGATGCCACCCGAAGGTTGCAGGAACAGCAACTCATATTCCGCTTGGGAACCCTGCAGCCCAATGGTATCAATGTGGATTTCACAAGTTTCAAAATCTCCCCTCCCCCTACCGCATCCCAAAACCAGTCCAGCTCGTCCCTGCCTCCCTAACCTGTTCTTCCTCCCACCTATCCCCTCCTCCCACCTCAAGCCGCACCTCCATCTCCTACCGACCAACCTCATCCCGCCCCCTTGACCTGTCCGTCCTCCCTGGACTGACCTATCCCCTTCCTAACTCCCTACCTACACTCACCTTTCCTGGCTCCATCCCCGCCTCTTCGACCTGTTTGTTTCCTCTCCACCTATCCTCTCCTCTATCCCTCTTCTATCCGCCTCCCACTCTCTCCCTATTTATTTCAAAACCCCCTTCCCCTCCCCCTT